CGTAGGCGCTAGGACCGCAGATGGAGGTCGGCCGGCTAGCTAGGCCGGTGAGAACCTTAGGTGGCCGACATGGCCAGCCAGTGCCCATGTCCGTCGCGCCGGCGAGCGCGGGGGCGCCTAGGACCTCCCCGATGCGAAGGTGAATTATTATAGGGTCATTAATGCATGATTGCTGACTGCGTGAATAGCGCGCATAGTGGACGCGCTATTTTATTAAAGCACGGAGACTTTTGTGCAAATGTCAATACAAGACAAGACGCTCCCTCCCCAGACGTGGACCAAGGTCGTCAGGCCATGAGGCGAATTTGCTTTTTCTTTTTCCTAAGAAATTAGAAATAGTTATATCATTTTATTTTTGGGCTGATCTTGGATAATTAATATCAATTCATATAAGTGTCCAAAAATTGTGAAATAAATTTTGTTGAGTTTCTAAAAATGTTGTCTATCTAATAGTATGGTTAGTTTATACATGTTTGTGTTGATGTTAAGGTCTATTAAATCATTTGAAAGTGTTTAATGTTATTTAGATTAATAATTGTAGGAATTTTTGTGGCAAATTGGTAATAGCTTTGGTCATGAAATTTTTACAGTAGATTCCTAACATTATTAGATGCTCACTGTAATTTTTGTAGCTCCATAATAATTAGTTTGCTAAGGTAGCTAAATGAGCCATAGTTCGAAAATATATGTTTAAATCAATAAAATGCCGAAACACCTAGGGATTTTATAACTAAAACATTGTGGGGAATTAGCGTCTAGTTCGACAACCTAGGTACGTAGCCTAGCACGTTAGAGCTATCTCGTTAGCTTGCGAGGCGTAATCGAATTTCTAAGAGTTTCGGTTGTCGTTGATTATGTACATCTATGCGTTGCACCCACGTATATCATAATAGGAACAACGATGGGTCATGGAGATGCTCGAAGTAGCGAAAAAGATGGTGCCTGATGATTGTGTCACCATAAGAGAATGCTAACTTTTGGTTACATCTTACCCAGGCAAGCCCCGGTGCATAACCCCTATTATTCTGCACTTTATTTTATGCTTATGCATTAAGTTTAAGGACTTGAATGAAAACCACTTGCATATATATATCCTTATCTATGAGTCCTACTAGTATGTCAGGATCATATAGATTGCTATGCTATAGGATCCGGTAGAAGTCGAGTGATTACTTGTCACTCGCGAGAGATATGAAAGATATTATTGTTGTTATTATATTACTGTCACAGGGAATATATATGAATGATAATTAGAGACCGGGCGGAATGATACTTTGGATCTAGACTTGGTTAGGCATTCGAGCGAGGCTCGGATTGCACTTGTTCCGCCTATGTCGGTTAAGAACCGGCCGTTGCATTGGATTCTAGTCAGGTCACAGACTTATTATCCTGAGCACATACTTGCTTATGGGAGCGGGAATGCTCGTTGCTCTCTTATCGTGGGTTTTGGCTCTTTTTGGACCGACTAATTGGAGGCTGGGATGGTGGAGGTCTAAGCACCACACTGAGTTCGGGACTCAGGTGTGGAGGCTTAGAGTCTAAGTTTGGACGGGGACCTAGACCTTTTGATAAGAGAGTGGTGGGTTGGTCCTGCTTGTGTCGGGGGTACAAGCAGGGTGTGTGTTTCAGGGTACCCAGCTGGGATACATTGGTTTACGAATTGCCGTGTAATACGGTACGGCTTGGCTATGATATAGCACCGTAGTAAGAACTGAAATATGAAAGATGGTAAAATAGTTCTGATTGCTTATCATATGCTTAAAAGTAGCATAGGTGCTTACATAGAATGGTTAGTTAATGAACTAATAATGACTGCTAATAAAATTGAATATAAGGATGCACGTTTAGTAATGCTCCTGTAGATGCAATAAATCCACAAACTAGATAGCCTTGCATTTCCTTGGAGTCTTTTCTTTCCTCCTGACGGGTAAGTCTTGCGGAGTAAAATTGAGTACTCAGGGTTTGTCCTACCCTGTTGCAGGTGACAGGTGGATGCTAGAGTTGACACTTGTGTGCGAAAACCTCCTGGTGGGCTCAGCGAGGATTTCCTCAACATTGCAGACATAGAATTTATTTGAAACTTCCACCCAAAATGTTTTACAATGGAAAAACTTATAACCTGTTATAATGTATATAACGGATCATCATGTTAATGTTTAACTTGTCACTAAATGATTTTATTTCTGCTGAAACTCTGATAACATGATTATATTCTGTTGTTATAAACAATAAATATTATACTCTGATATTGCATGGAAAGTGAGGTAAGGAATGGCTAAAATGTTGTAAGCTTTATTCTCCCATTTATGATCCTATCGAAAAATGTGGATTTTCGCCTTCTCCCGTGGGGTGTGCTCGGCAGAACTGTTAAATTAGCTCACTCTTGGGGTGTTTAGTATCTAACGGAAGACAAGCACCTCTAGAAGTGAGTTATTTTAGACGGTTGTGCCACACCTTTTAACTAGATGGAAAAATAAATCTATGCATCAAATAAAAAAAACTTTTCAAATGAAATTCAATTGGAAGTATAGGGAACGAATATGTGCATCAAATTGAAAAAAAATAAACGAGTAATGAAAGTAGAAGTACCTCTCACGAAGGTCAGGTGGCCCTAATCTGAGATTGGGCAGGGATGGCCCCCAAAACCTGATGGGGAGGACGGAGTGCACCTGTACAGTGAACCTGATTTTAGTGATTTGAATGAAGAGAGAAGGGATTAGAGTACATGGGGAAGAATAGATGGGGTCATGGGGAAGGACGCAAGAGGCACAGAGAGACACAGAGGAGCACCATCTCCGCAACGCTGCCATCAGCGGGAAGCAGACACAACTTCTCATTGACGTTTGCTAGGCCGCCATCGCGCCCTCCACTTCCACGGGGTGCTCCTCTCGTTGCGTGCTCGCAGGTCGCCGCCGGCTCATGCCACAACTACTCACAAGCGGATCTAGATCTCGTGGGTGAGGGGAGGGAAAAGAAGAGAAAGGAGTCCGAGAGGAGGGGGATTATGGGGGTTGCGGTGAGGAGGAGAGAGCCATGGAAGGTGACCGAGGACCGGTGGTGAGGAGGGGAGAGCTGTAGGGGGTGGCCGGGGACCAGCGATTGATGAGGAGGAAGATTGGGAATGAACGGATCTGAGGGGAGGACTCGTGGGCGTGTGCGGAAAGGAAATGTCCTGAATTTTTTTGCCTCGCTGCGTTGCGTCTGCTGCCTCTGTTGTGCGCCAATATTTTTACCCGGCTCTCTAAGACGTGGGCCAAGCCATATGACTTGAGCACGGGCTGATGTATTTCGGGCGCAGGGCTGGCCTCCCCTAGCGGTGTGAAAAGATTTTCTGTCGCTGCAGCGCAAACGCAGGAAAAGATGAGGCTCTCGTGGATGAGTGGTGTCCACCCGACGGGATTGTTCCCAGCCATAGGGGGAAAAGTGGCGTGGTGTCGATAAAAGATGCTCGGCAGCAGTCCTCCGAGGGGTATCACACGAAGGTAAATTGATCGACAGAGGTGCGCGTAATCAATAACAAGAAGGTAACAGACACAAGAGTTACACAGGTTCGACCATCAAGACGACGTAATACCCTACCCCGTGGGCTGTTGGTTTGTATTGGCTATCGTATGATATATTGCGTGTGTTTTGAGGGGGTCCCCGCCCGCCTTATATAGTCTGAGGGCAGGGTTACAAGTCGGTTAGATCTAAGAGATAACTGAAAAGTAATAATAGATTACAGTGAATCATGGGATCGAACGATCCTAACAGATCTCGTAGTATCTTCAACAGATCTCGTAGTATGTTTAGGATATCGCCCTTGATGCCTTGCGGTACAAACTGAGCAGTGTCGTGCATCGTAGGTCTTCGTCTTGTGGGCTGGACCGCCTCTGGCAGCGCAGCCCATGTAGTCTGCCGTGGGTATCCGGGTTCGAACCCCCCACACGTGGGGTAGTGATATTGAGTCAAAGTTAAAAATGTTTGACTTCTCGGGAAGTGATAATGACATTTATTTTGGTACGGAGGGAGTATGTTTTTATGAAATATAACGTAAAATTATAATTTAGTTTATTTTTTTAAATTGACTAACTCTACTATTATAAAACATAATTTAAAATATATTCCTCAAATCTACATGTAAATAATAATATAAGTTATTATTATAGAAAATAATTATAAAACATAAACTAAAATATGCATGTCGACTTGCAGCTCCTTAATTATTGGTTTTTTTTTTTTTTGCATCTACTTCAACCGGAGCCACAAATATATTTGAGTTAGGCATGATCTTGATTTGACAAGGGCGTGAGGAAGAAGGGAGGCTGCACATACCTAGGGGCTTAGGCAACACTAACGAATAGAGATTGCGTCACTAGTAAAAAATAATTTTCATAGGCACCTCCATTTTCAGACGTGGTTCTATTTCTAGCATCTCTAAATAGAGAGGAGAACCCTAGCTGCTTGTTAACTGTATTTTAAAATGTATTTCTAAAGGCGGTGCCGCGAGATAACAGCCTGCCATCGTTAGTCTATTTCTTCACACATTCTCACGCGCAGTATTTAATCCTAAAATGACACTATAGAGAAGGCGTTGAGCGTGATTTCTCTCTAGAACATCTAATGGTATGAAATTCGGCATATATATACATACATATATATTTCCCCCTCAAATTTCAGTCAAGATACGTACATATATTCCCCCTCAAGGAAAGCTCCAATTATTAATGTCGATAATAATAATAAACAAAACAAAAAACCATGTACGAGTGGATAGCCAGATAGACACACTCAAGCAAAGCTCCAATGCAATTATTACTGTGGATAATAATAATAATAATTTTTTTAACTCGGTACAAATCTGAACGCTATCGCCACTTACGTACGGTCGGTGTGCAGAATACGCACAGCCACAAAATCAAGCGCGGAAAATCTTATTGCATCCAGTACACGTGAGAGAGCCTGATCGATGATACATGCAATGCAATGCAATGCAAGTGATCACGCCAGGCTCGCTCGTCTTATATGCATACAATATAATGACTGGCCGGCCGATTAATCAGACGGAGATGGCCGGGTATAGAGGTGCGCCGGCAGCCTCGGCACGGCGTGCAGCACCAACGGGTGGCCATGAAGGTGTCGCTCTTGGACTCGCTGAGGTCGACGGCCTCGACCCCGGCCGGCTTGCTCCAGGTGAACCCCTGCAGGAGCCTGCCGAAGAGCATGATGCTCATGGCGGTGCCGAGCGACGCCGCGATGCAGCCGCGGCGGCCGGTGCTGAAGGAGATGAACCGCAGGTCGTTCTCAGTGAGTGCGACATCGGACGCGGCGGCGAGGTGGCGATCCGGGTAGAAGCGCAGGGGCTCGTCCCACACGCGCGGGTTGCGGCCCAGCCCCGTGCGGCTTAGGATCACGTGGCTGCCCTTGGGGACGCAGTAGCCGGCGATGGTGGTGTCGGCGAGCGCGACGTGCGGGACGTTGAACGGCGCCACCGGGTGCAGCCGGAACGCCTCCCGGATGCAGGCCTTCACGTAGTTGAGCTTGGGGATGTCCGACTCCTGCACTAGCCGTTCCCGGCCGACGACGCGGTCGAGCTCCTCCACCGCCTTCGCCATCACCTCCGGGTTGTTCACCATCTCTGCCAGCGCCCACTCCACGGCGTTCGACGGGTTGTCCACCGCCGCGAACGTGATGTCCTGCGTGCGTACGTACACATGCGATATGAGTTCATTATATATATTTTCATGTAGATGTATGTACCGAAATACAGATTACCCATCGCATGCATGCATGCCATGTCAATAAACATGATGCATGCATGTACTTTACCTGCGACTGCGCTTTGACCTCCTCGATGGTCAGCAGCGGGTTGCCCTGGGCGTCCTTGAGCGTGATGAGCACATCCAGGAAGTCCTCCATCTCCTGCCGCTCGCCGCTCTTCCACTGCCTCCACCGGTCGTCGATGACCGTGTCGTGGAGCCTGTTCACCGTCTCGTTAGCCTCCTTGACGATCTTCTCGTGGCTGTCGATGTCGAGGCCCCGCAGCCATGGAGGTAGTCGGAGACGCAGAAGGCGTAGAGGAGGCCGAGGGAGGTGAACACGGCGTCCATGTGCAGCACCTCCATCGGCCCGGGCCCGCCGTCAGGCTGGGGCTCGCCAAAGTAGCGCATGTTGAACATGAGGCGGCGGATGACGTTGCCGCAGTAGTGACGAGCAACGTGCCTGACGTCGACGACGTCGCCGGCGGCTCTGGTGGCGAGGTTGTAGACGTAGCGGGTGAGGTTGTCGGCCCTCGTCGGCGCGCTTGTCGTGGAGCCACGCGTGGCGAGACGGGCAGATGATCTCGGAGGTGAGGACGCGGCGCATCTTCTTCCACTGGTCGCCGTAGGGCGAGAGCACAGCGTTCCGGTAGCCGCCGCTGAACGTCTCGGACGCGAAAGTGAGCGGGCGGGATATGAAGTTTGCGTCCTGCTTCCGGAGCACCTCCCGTGCGATCTCTGGGCAGGTGATGGACACGACGTGGACGCCGCCGAGCTTGACGCATGCGATGTCCGTGCCCATCTCTCTCATCATCTGGTGGATCCAGCGGAATGCCGGCTTGTTCAGCAGCATCTCCGGCAGGTTGCCGACGACGGGCCACGGCACGGGCCCGGGCGGGAGCGGCGGGTTGCCAACGCCCGGGAGGCGCACGTTGTGCTGCTGCACTTAGTGGTGGTTTTGCGTGGCCGGCTCAGGGCTCGGGCCAGGTACGAGAGCGTCACTACGAATAGCAGCAGTTTGAGTATCGCAGAGGAGGACAGCAAGGGGGCAGCCAGCACCGTGGCGGCGGCTGCCTCCACCTCCATTGTCGCCATTGTCAAATTACCAAACACGGAGACGGTGTGTGCAGTGTGTGTGGGAGCGAGCAGCTAGCAGCGACCGTGATGATCGATCTGAGTTCTCTTTGGCTAGCTGCACTGCTAGCAGCTAACTAGGCCAAAGAGAGAGCTCACTGATCGATCACCCAATCAGCTAGCTAGCTGTGTGTGCAGGCTCCTGCTTGAGGCCGAACAGGGCAAGCCCGTGATGGGTATTTATGGTGCTGGACCGGCACTAACCACGCGTGCATGCACAGTGCCACAGCTAACTGTGTGCAGCGCATCGACCATGCAGCATGCACATGTGGGAGCGCAGAATGAGCACATCATGCAGCCAACTGTGTGCGCTAGCATGAAAGTGGAGTGGGGCCGGGCCAAATTCGAACCGTTTTCGTTTTCTATATTACAAATACTATACAATTTTTATTGTTCTCAAATTTAGCCAAATATAAATACTTCCATTTTCAACTAGCTAGTTTCAAAACTATTTTTCATTTATCATTTTCACAAAAATATGGAAAATTTTTTATCCAACCATTTTTATTTTATTTCTATATTGTAATAATACCGTTTTCCAACCATTTTCACCTCAAGTGCCGCCAGCTAATAACATGTGAGTTAGCCTTTATGCATGGTTATCTATTACTCACTATGTTTCTGAATAAATAAAGTTTTAGAGTTGTTCTTGGTCATTTTTAAAATTTGACCAACTTTTTTTTGAGGAAAAAATTTGACCAACTTTATAAAGAAAATATTGTTATTTATGGCATCAAATAACTATATGACAAAATATAAAGAGTAAAATACAATGAAGGTTCTTTAACTTTTGAGGGGTGTCATATAGGTTCATCAACTCTTTTAAAGTATATATATGTTATTATGTTTGGGTCCCCAAACTTTTTAAGTGGTTTAACAGAGGTCCATGCCTCTTTCTTTAACAATTAGATCTGCCATGGCTTGTCCATTGAACAGCCAGTGTGGAGGATATATGCAATTAGCCCCTTCTCTTTTCCCTCTCTTCCATCCAGCTCCTTGCTCCCCCAACCGCCTGCTGCCGTGTCTCATTCGCTCATTATATGTTGGCCTGCTAGAGCATCTTCAAGAGATTAGCAAAAAAAAAAAAAAAAAAAAAAACTAGCCAAATTTATTGATTTAGCTACTCTCTAAAATAGATTTGATAAAAAAATATTAGAGTACTCCACCTGACTGTAAAACGAGGACTCCATATTCAACTAGCATTCAATCAACAAAGCATGTAGGGACAGCCGATTAACAAAGCATGCATGCAAGAAACACCAACCGCGCCAAGAGGCTGGATGGCTAGCGAGGTAGGCTATCCAAAAGTAGAGAGCGAAAGAGAGATTTGGACCGTTATTTACAGAGTCTATTAGAAACTTATAGAAAATAATTTGGCTAATCTCTTATAGATGCTCTCCTCGCCCTAGCCGCACCTCGTCCGCGCTGGCTGCTAGCTCAGTCGCACAACCGCCCGCCCACTCTCGGCGCACATCAAAGCACTTGCATGGCCTGCCCCGTGCCGACCCACCGGCCATGTTCCAGTTCCACGCCCACCACGCAGGGCACGTGCGTCATCGCTGTCCAACGCGCTCGCCGCCGCGTTCAAGCGCGCGTAGGAGAACCAGCGCCGGGGCATGCAACTCGGGCACAGCTGCGGAGGGCCAGCACGTAGCCGCCAAGGGAATAGTGCCTGATTGAGTATTTGCTGCCTCACTCCTAGAATAGTATTAAAACATTGCATTTGAGAACTTTGAGTCTATCCCTTGGTTAAATATACGCACCAACTAAGGCCCTATTTTAATTGAACCTGCTAAATTTTAGCCAGCTAAACCAGCTGCTAAACTTTAGTCACCTCTGTTTGGTTTAGTGGACTAAAATAGATTAAAAGAGGCATTTTAGTCCCTTTTAGTCAGGGTGTTTGACTCCAAAGTGACTAAAAGGTGAGGCAGCCTGTGCTTTAGTTTCATTTAGCAACCTCTTTGTGACTAATTGACTAAATACCTATTTAGTTATAGTGTTTAGGTAAAAAATAACTAAATATGAATAAAATTAGTCAGCTAAACTTTAGTAGCATAAACCAAACACCCCTAACTTTTCTTGCTTGTTTGGAGATTAGAAGACTTCAGGGTTCCACAGTTTGTCTGGTCCAATTTTGCCCCACCTCGGGTCTAAGTTCTTTGGATGGCTCCTCACTAAAAATAAGATCAACTGCAAAGCTGCCTTGCTGCAGAAGAGAGTGGTCCAGAAAGACAACTGCGACATTTGCCATCAGGGCTCGGAAACAGTTGACCACATAATCAGGGGTTGTCCCTTTGCCAGAGTTTTGGAGGAGAATTGGGTGGAGAGATGAGGACGTTGCAGATGTTCAGCACCTATGGGAATCCACTGCGCCTGTGGACAGGCCACGGTCAGCCCACGCTACCCTTCTTCTCATCTGCTGGGAACTGTGGAAGCACCGTCATGATGTAGTATTCAGAGCAATGGCTCCAGAGACCACTCTCGCCTTATTGCCGCCTGCCGCCGGGAATCAGCAAAGCTCTGGCTGCCTTCCCCGAAACAAACCTCGTCGATCTGCTATTTGGTGTAATAACTTGCCTATGTAACTCATCTATCCCTCGTGTATTTCTTGGAATCTTGTATTCAGGCGCCAAGCACTACCACCAACTGGTTCACTCCGGTATCTGTAGTATCAATATATCAGGTGGGGTTCATTTAACCCCCCGTCGTTCACCTAAAAAAAAGGGTTCTGCACTTAGGATGGTTCTTGTAATCCATGGAGCCGAATTTTTTATTTTTTGGCTCTTTTTTTTTTGAAAGTTTTTCACAAATATACTCTTGGAGGTATGCTTTTAAAATCTGGACCCTTACCTCGACGCCATCGTTGGTGGCGCCGAGCTTACACGTCTCGACGCCAAAGTGTTTGGCGCCTAAGTCGGGGCGCCACGTCGGCATCAAAGTAGAGCCAGGGGTGACATGGCAGCCAGCTCGGCGCCGTGTATCTTGGCATCAAGCTTGGCGCCGTAGATCTTGGCGTCGAGTTTAGCGCCATAGATCCTGGCGTCCAGCCGGCCTTACAGGTGGGTCCTTTTTCTTTCTCTCTTCCTTCCTTTCCTTTTCCTTTCTTCCTTTCTTCTCTCTTGCCCGACGCCTCCGCTGGCTGGCGCCCGCTTCCCATTGCGCGCCCGTGCCCTGCCCCGACGCCCCGCTTCTCATCATTGCTACTGGCCTTTACCGCCCGGCCGCCATGGCCGTCACAGCGCTTCGCTGAGGCGGCCTCCCATGCCAGCCACCACGCTTTTCCCATCCACAAGCGCTGGCTAGCTTCGCCGACGCGCCCACGCCACACCAAGGCCGGCCGGCCGCTTCACCGCCGCCCGCCACCGCCAAGACTTCGCTGAGGCGGTCCCACCATGGGGCCGTCATTGCCACCACGCCTCGCCTGTCCCACGGTGCCGGGCGGCGCCTTGCCTCTCCGTCCTCCATGTCCAGCCGCACGCGTAGGTCGTTCTCCGCCACCCCGTCCCACGGCCCTCCACCGCGCCTTTAAGCACTTCTCCTCTGCTCTCCACTGCAAGGTGCAACCGCCATCGTTGGACAGGTAAATTTCGTGTATATGCAATGTAGTTAGATAGTGAGGTTGAATTGTGGTGTAGTAGTTAGTTTATTGATGTACTTAGGATGGTAATGTGATAACCTATTAAGTTTAATTAGTTGGTGATCTAGAGATTAGGTGATAACCTAGTTAGACTATTTACTTACATAGTTAGCTATCTATTTAGTTAGTTATGATAACCTATTTAGTTTAATTAGTTGGTGATGTAGTGATAATAAGGTAATAACCTAGTTGTTGGACATGTATGGAGCTAGCTATTATGTTATTTGCGAAGCTAGCAGTTACCTAGTATGTAGTTGTTGGCACGTAATTTGGACTAAACGAAATGTGTTTGGATTTATGTATGAAATAGATGGACAACCTAGTGAGCATATATCATGGAGGCACCGTGGAAAGAGATCGCTAGTGAGCATATGTCATGCATGCATGGTGAGGACTGATTAGTGTAGATGTTCACCGAGGGGATCGACGGAGGTCGTCGCTTCTTCAAATGCCCGCGAGCATGGGTAATTGCTATTACATTTCGTTTGTTAAATATGTTTCTCGAATATCCTTACAACTCATAGGACATACTTATTGTAGTCTTCCGAGTCCGAAGAAAACTGTGGGTTCACTAGGTGGGTCGATCCTCGACCAATTTATCCGCATCAGCAGTACATCTACTACCTGTAGGACCAAATCTTCGATCTACAAAGGGAAGTTAGCAGCGGGTACAAGAAAGACGAAGACGACGAAAACAACAATGGTGCAAGTTCATAGGAGGCACTCTGCAATGATCCATATTGCACCTACCCTAATCACAAGAACAAGGGGCCTCCGCCGTCACCCCCGCCACCACCACCACCAACAATGGGAGGCTACTGTAGAGAAGGTGCAACATAATTTGCTATGTGGTCATACTACTAGGACGACCCTATCTTATTCACATGGCACATCTATGTGTTTGTTGTTTGGTTTAATTACCTAAGACATGTTATGTTTAGTCGAAGGAACTATGTATCCTTGTTTGGTACATGTTCTCACATGCCATTTCATGTGCTTGTTGTTCGCTTCGATTATCTAAGGAATGTTAG